CCAGCTTCCAGGAATTTATGGGGTTATCAGCTAATGATCCCACCGATTTCTCAGCTCTCCAGAATTAATTGGCTGCAAGGCCTCAGCTTATTAACCGGATTAGAGGAATTCCTGCAGTTTTTCCCTGACAGACAGCTCAGGCTGTTTGGGGGAAATGGTGTGAACGACTCGCAGATGACTTCACTTGGACTGGCTCTTCTCCCTGCACGGGAAGGAGGCAAGAATCCCAGGAATGTTGTTTTCCAAATGAGGAATAACACATGGGGAGCGAAGCATGACCAAACTAGGTAGCAGAAGGTAATTTGCTGGAGGAGAAGGGTTTTATTGGAATGCTCATCCCTGTAAATGGTGTCAATCTGGCACGGAGGAGTTGGCAGGGATGGCTCTTCACACCCCAATTGAGGAATTGGGCAGMGATGACAGGATGGGACCAACCTAAATGAGGTAACCCCCATGGCTGCAGCTCTCAAGGAGTGTTTTGCACTTTTAATTACTGCCCTGTCCTGCAGCCCCAGGGYCAGCTTGTTCCTCCTGCAGCCCCAGGGCTCAGTTCTGCCACCCAGACAGAGGAAATGTAGCACTTTGTGCCACCAAGAGCCACCAAGARTGGCACCAAAGGCTGGCACTGCCCGGGGTGCAGCAGTGAGGATGTGGGAAGGAGGGTGAGCACAGCCTCACCCAAAACTTGTTGGTGGCTCACATACCTTTGGGCTGGCTCAGCAGGCTCCAGGGATCCCATATATGTCCAGGAGATGYGTTTATGTACACACCGAGTCACCAAATCCAACCCCGACACTCCTCCCCACCCCCGGCAGCCCTAAAACCCCTTGGAGAGTTTTCTTTTCAGCTTTTTTCTCTCTCCTCCTCTGAATTTCTATTTATGACGCTGAGCAGGAATAAAAGCACTCTCAGCAGCTTCAGGGGAATATTCCCCACCTTTTCTCTTGTGGAAGAACAAACACACCCCATTGCAACTCCTGGAGCTGCAGGGGCCACAAAGGAAATTTCCTGCTTTCATTCAGCTGCAAGAACGAAAACCTTTATCCCTGTGCAAATAAAGAGGGGCTGCAGCCCTCCCTGTGCGGGCCTATTCAAGCTGGCATTTCCATCCCTTTGCCCAGAGAAACCCTCAGAAGGCAGGAATGTGAGGAATGAGGCTCACTCAAGTCTCAACAGACAACTCCAGCGAGGCTGCTCCCTTCTTTTTCATGTTCCTTTGCGGATTTGAAGCCGTGCCAACCCTCGAAAACAGAAGGAGAATGTGGAATTGGAGCCATGGTATTTGTGGGGTGAAAAAAAAAAAAAAAAAAAGCCTATTTGTGTTTGGGATTCTGTTCCTGCAAAATCCAACATTTTTGGCAAGGACAACGTGGGTGGTTTTTCAGTTTTATCGAGGAGTTGCTGATAAGGCTGAAGTTCATCTTCCTTTGTGCTGGACATTTATTCCAGCTGCAATCCTCTTTTTTTTTTTTTTTTTTTTTTTTTTTTTGGCAGCTTCAATGACTTCAGCCAGAAATACTTTCAACATTAAGAACGCTCTGCTTTTGAAACCTTATGTTTCAGGCAGAGTCCAACAGAAATTCAAGCTTTTCGACTGAAATAAAACCCCTCCTCAGCAATATGGTCGGGTTTGGTTTGCAGGGGATGCCAAGTTTAGGCTTAAACATTGCGATCTTAATAAAGAGCAGAATGACATCAGTAAAAACTCAGGAATATTTAATTTTTTGGCTGTTCAGTGCTGTTTGAAGGTGCTGGATCAGGGAAAGCTGCTCGGCTGGGAGATGCAAAGGTTCAGCTCCACATCCTGAGGCCACCAGGCTCAGTAWCAGGCAAGACTTTCCCTATTTCCACACCAGCAAGCAGCCATCAGGAATCAGGCTCTGGAGCCTTTTGGAGCCCAGTCAAGTGAAAGAGCAGCAGATGAACAGCAGTGTTCTCACTCCCAAAGCCTTGGGCTGGCTAATTATCAGCTGCACAGCCAACACATCAAACAGTGGCTGCTCCCAGGGGCTGATTCAGTGCTGGGGGTTTTCCTCCTAAAAAAAAACCCCAAAATGGCCCAGGTGGGTTTTTAGCACAGGGCATCTCCAAGCACAGGGTAAAACAATATTCACAGCACTCTGTGTGATCCCACCTCAAAAGGAAAGTTTGCAGAGGTGACTCGGCTTTCCAAGTTATCAATCCTAATTAATTCCCTTGTAAAAGTAATAAGGAAACGCTGCTAAGACGGGCAATTAAAGGAAGAAAATCACAGAACCCAACACAGCCAAGAGAACTGCAAGGCAAACATAACAATTTGGACTTTTCCTCTCCAATCCTCACTGCCAGGGAATCTGGGGAATTAGAAACTCGAATTCCTCCAACTTTCAGCTCTTTCCTGAAAGGTTGCAGCACAAAACTTTTGCAATTAATTCCTGTTTTTATGTGGACACCGAGCACATTGTACACAGTCAAACAAACTTGACTCAAAGCTCCAAGGCCCTCCTGGATTTAATTACTTGCTAATCCCCAGCAGTTGTAAGTATTTCTGGCYCTGTTGAGAGTTATTTTATGGAAGTAGCCACATTTCAAGCAATAAAACCCCCCCTAGAACACATTTTAGAGAGACACAGGTATGTACACCTAATTAATGGCATTTCTAAGCCACAGCTGCTGTTGTCCTAGCACGAAATATAAATACCAAAGGAGTCACTTCTAATGAAAAAAGCCAAAAAAACTTGATAAATGCAGATTAGACGGTAGATAAAGGCAACTAACACAGATTTTTTTTTTCTTCACAGCAGCCCTGAAAGCACAAGACGAAGCTTTCACCCCGAGAAACTTTTAATATTGCCCCTCACCCAGTGAGCAAACAGCTCCAGACTGCCACATGTGACCGCAGAGAGCAGTAATTTATGGTGCAGGGAGATTGCAACCAGACATTCCTGCTCGGAGAGAGGCCTGCTAGTCCCAAACCCCATTGAAATTCCACTTGGCAAGTGCTCGCCTTAATGCTGTGGCTAATTTCAATCCTCCTAATGACTTGCAGAACGAGCCAGTACCAGCGAACACGGGAATAATGAATCTTCCCATTCCACCCCGCTCTTACTTGTCCCATATTCCTGTGGGTACATCCAACATACAATAACAACTCCCCAGTGGATTTATTTTAGATTTTCTGTGTGTTTCACCACACCTGAGAGTCCTCGAGTGAAAAACACGTTGTTGTTATTGGTGTAGAAAGAATTATAAACCCAAACTGTTGGCAGGGCCTCCTCTCACCCTAACACAGCTATTTTAACCATATATTTTAACTATTTTAACCCGTGCCCACAGCTCTTCCCCTTTTCCCAGCGAGCAAAAAAAAAAAAAATAAAAGAGCTGGAAGCAGCAGTAGTTCCTTCCAAAGGATTCRCTGCAAAACCCAATTATCAATTTTAATTCAAGGGACTAATTGCTCGATGCTCCCAGTTAAAACAGAGTTAAAGATGGATACAAAATCCTGATTGAGTCATCTTGGAAGTATCTGCAGGATGCAATAAACTCAATTAAAGAGCCTCTTTCYCCCTCCCGTGAGATATTCAAGGACCATAAACAACTGCAGCCATCACCTCCCCCGTGTTGCAATGATCTTCCATCAGTCCCTGGCAGCTCATCAGCCGTATTTTTTAAGTTAATTAGATCTAGTCCTGCTTTAAAAAYGCCATTCAGACATCTCTTCCAACTCAGGAGAGGGCCAGGACAAAGACTCGTGAAAATTAAATTACCAAGATTTTCAGATAAGGCTGAAACTCTCTCTTATCTTCTGCTGGCTCTTATCTGCTGATGGGATTTTGCCCTGGGTGAAGGGGCTGGGGTAGCGTTGGTTTTTTCCCAGTGGGTGCCAAGAGTGGTTCATGGAGACAAAAAATCCTCATCCACAGAGTCCCAGAGCCAGAGGATCCACTCAGCCATCGTAACACCAAGCACTGGATCTTTCAAGTATTTCCTCTTCACTTTGGGCTGTCAGACAAATCACCCACTCCATCTCAAGCTTCTGACTCAACCACATTTTCCCCGAGTTCCAGGACAAAGGCTGGCAGGTGGTTTTTCCTCCACTGCTTTTGTCCTTTGAAGTGCTAGGGAATATTTCATTCCATGGGTGTCTCCAGCCTTTGACATTCAGATTCCAAACCTGCCCGTGTCCAACCAGCCGGCGTGTTGTTGTGTTTTTAATAAAGATAAAATTTTCCAAAATAACCATTAATTTTTAATGAGCCCTCGCTCCGTAGTTCCAGCCAGCTTAGTAATCAGCATGAAAGCTCCAACCAGACACACTCCAGAAATCTGCAAGTCTCACTTGGCATAAGATGAAGAAAAAAAATTCAGCTCAGAGCAAAGCTGATACTGGGTTGTGGGCAGAGGCTGCCTTTTCCCAGTAATCGTGTTGCAAGAATTTGGAATCGTTTCCTCAACAGCAAGAGGGAAGCCAACCCGCCGCCTAAACTCCTCTTTTAAACAGGGCTTAACATTTTCATTCCTGGGAAAAGAGCTGCTGTCACATCGAGGAGAAATTGCCGGGTCCAAATTCAGCATTACCGAGCCATCTACGCAGGCTGCCTGGGGAAGAGAGGGATTGTGTGTTCTGCCAAGTTCCTCCGGGTTTTTTTTTTTGTTTTTTTTTTCCAATCAGCTCTGCAGATGATGTCGATCCACACCTCCGGTAATGGTTCCTGGTGTCACTTCCCCCTGGACATCCTCAGTTCTCCAGAGGCAGAGCCACACTGGCTCCCCACGCTCCTCTCCAGCACTGAGGCAGCAATTTTGGGGTGCACCCTCACCCCCCTGGCTGTAAGTGCAGCCCAATTATCCAAATTATCAACGACAGCCGGATCTAGAGGAGCTCCTGTCTCAACATGTGAAGAGACAGCCAAGCACCAAAACCCTGAACCTTTGAGGCTTCTGAGCCAGCTCCTGGCACGGTCACTGAAGGTAAGACTGGAAGAAGGAAGAGAACCTTCAGCCCTGAYGGGGGAAAGAATGGGTCCCTCTGAATCCGAGAAAATCAGAGAAAAATTCTAAAGGTTTTCCCTAAAAGCCTCGCCTAGCCTCAAAGACTCTCTAAAACACGTAGGAAAAAAAAGTGCTGTATTTTGTAAAAAACCAAGCAGGCATTAATGAGGCCACCAGGAGCTCCAAAGCGAGCAGAAACGATTCACCATTAGCACATGAACACCTTTCCCCTCTCCTCCGAGGCAAAGCGGGGTCTGCAGGCAGCAGAGGAGCCGAGGTACCCCCGGAGCTCCCCAGAAAGCTCCTTCCAGCCAGGCAGGTGAGAACACATTCCCCTGCAATGCTGACAAATCGCTTCCCCGAGCCTTGCCCACACCCTCAGCCGAGCAGATCCTTCAAGGATAGCTGAGATTTTTGCCCAAAAGCCGCGTACGGAGCCCGGCAGCCCTGCCGGGAAGGCTGCGGGAGCGCGGGGCTGCGGAGCCGCCGCTCCTCCCGRTCCCCCCGCAACGCCCGGGATCGAACGGGAGCGCTCACCCGAGGTGTCCCASAGGCTGAGCTCGATGCGCTGCGTGTCGATCTCGAAGCTGGCCGTGTAGTTCTCGAACACCGTGGGGACGTAGTTCTGCCGGGAGACAGCGCACGGTCAGCCCGAGCCCAGCGCCGCCGCCCCGGTCCCGACCCCGAYCCGACCCCGCTGCCCACCCCAGCCCGGCCCCGCTGCCATCCCTCTCTCACCTCGGGGAAGCAGTCCTTGGCAAAGACGTGGAGCAGCGCGGTCTTGCCGCACTGGCTGTCCCCCACCACCACGATCTTGCACTTCACGTTCTGGTTGGGATCCATCACCGCCTTGCTCGATAACTTCTGGCTCGCTCTTCTTTCCTTCATTGATCTCCCCTTAGTCCCTCCGGCCGGCCACAACAGAAGAGAGGAAAAAAAAAAACCACCAAACCCAAAAATCAAACCACACCCGGATTCCTTGCGAAAAAAAAAAAGGCAAAAACGGCGTAAAAAACACAATAAAGCCGCTGCGGTGGAAGAGGCAGAGCAGCGGAGACGCCGCCACCCGCCCGCCGGTCCCGCGCTCACTGCTTTGTCCCCCCGCCGGCCGCCCCTATTTATAGCCTCGCGCCCGCCAATCATCGCCCGCCGCCGCGCGGGCCACGCCCCCTGGCGCGCGCCGCCGGGGCAGTGCGCCCCCTAGGGGAGCGGCGGGAGCGGGGGGGCCCTGAGGGTGAGGGGGGGCCCTCAGAGCGAGGGGCGCGAAAACGGAGGGGTTTGTGGGGTTTATTGATAAATTTAATCTGTAAATGTCAGCGGTGAGAAAGGAAACCGCGGGGTCTGCGGCTGTGCGGCTTCCAGAGGTGGTGCGGGGTCACTCGGGGGGAGCCCGGTGCCTCAGGCTGGGATGARGGATGCTGGGGAGAGCTGAGGAGAGCGCGGGGCTGAGGGGGATGAGGAGGAATGAGAGATGAGATAAAAAGGAAGGGCTGAAAAAGCCTGAGGAGAGCTGAGGAAGGATGGGGGGAGATGAGAAGAGATGGATGCTTTACCCCCTATGGTGGGCAAAGGGGTTTTTCCCTCAAAACACSGTCACAAGGAGTGTGTCGGGATCTCACAGAAACACAGACTCCTGGAATRCTCCGAGTGAGAAGGTATCACAAGGATCATCCATCCAAACCCTTACCCTGCCCAGACCCCCCAAAAATCCCCCCTGAGCATCCCTGGCAGCGCAGTCCAAATGCTCCCGGAGCTCTGGAAGCCTCAGGACTGTGCCCATTCCCTGGGCAGTGCTGGAGGGAGAAACAGAACCTTTCCCTGACCCCCACCCTGAACATGCCTTGGACATGCCCTGAACATGCCCTGAACATGCTCTGAGCATGCCCGGAACATGCCCTGAACATGCCCTGAACATGCTCTGAACATGCCTTGAACATGCCCTGAACATGCCTTGGACATGCCCTGAACATGCCCTGAACATGCCCAGACACAGCTCCAGCCGTTCCCTGGGTCCTGTCCTTGCTCCCACAGAGCAGAGATCACTGCCTCCCCACCAACATCCTCCTATTTTTTTTTTTTACTTCCTGGCCACAACCCCGAGCCAAACTGGCTGAGGTTCAGCAGAGGAYGGAGCGCCATTGCTGACAGGAGAGCCCTGCACAAGGGGTGGTTTGTGAGCCGCTCGTGGCTCTCATCTCCATCAAGTGCTCCTCTCTTTTTTCCCATACGGTTCCGTGTGGCAGCCGGATCCCTGGAAAAGGGGGGTTGGAGCAGATCCCACCTCTCCTCCTGGTTCCAACCTCACATTCTGGTTGTGCCTGAACAGCTGGACACCAGGGTGGCCACCCTGAAAGCACATCCTTGGCCTTATCTCTTGAGTCATCTGGGTCATGAACCCACCCCGTGTCAGTTCAGGGCTGAAACGTGAGCGATTCATCAAGTTTTAAATCAACATCCTGGAAAAAAAAAAAAAAACGATGGTGTCTCGTGCTTGTTTGGCAACGGGGAGATGCTGCCCTGACTCCCACAAAAGAATCCCAAATATGACATTTCAAAATTCAGCGCTGATATTCTCGGGGTTTGTTCTGATGTGTCACATCTTTYGCTGGTCAAATTAGTCATCTCAGATGAATTTTCCAAAGAATCGGTTTCTGTTTGGAAACAATGAGCAAAACACTTGAATTTGCTGTGTGTGCTTTATTTGTAAGGCCTTGGACCAGGCAGCTTTCCATCCCTTTTTTTGTTTTTGTTTTTAAATTAAAAGCTCCTCTGCAATCTCCATCCATCCACMAGCTTTTTGGAAAAACGGTGGAATGGGAGAAATAAGCAGTGGAGAAAATTAATGCTGACAGGAAGCTGAGTTTCTCCCTTTTGTTCAATATCTGACCAGGACATAAATCTGGAAAAAACACASTTGTGTAAATGCTCCCAGGTGTTCTCCAAAGGGCAGAAAATCCTGCTTTTTCTGCCTTTCTCCCCATTCCACACTGGAGCACGTGGCAGCTTCATGGGCAGAGAGGAAGGTGGGATCGAGCTCTGGATTTCCTGGTGCTTTGGCTCTCAGAGGAGGAATTGATCTCCTCTGGAATCCTGGAGGAGAAATTCCCCTCACCCAGCTCCGGTGGAAAATCCACCAGCATCCAGCTATGCTTGGAATGTGGAAACTTTCACGCACAAGGAGCCCTTACTCATCCTGAGCAGAGCTTCCATCAGCAGCTCCCGGTGAGATCATCTTGGCACCACTGGTTTGCTCCTCTCCCGAGGCTGGCAGCCTCACCCAGCCCATCCCCAGGGATTTCGGGGGGCTTTGGGCACCCGGGACAATCCTTGGAAACAGCCGGCTTGTTGGCATTCCTTGGGGAAGCTGCTTCAGAGCTGCTAATCCCTGTAAACCCATTATTCATGTCGAACTCTTAAGTTTAATGCCTTTTCCCACATCTCGATAACTACGGGGATAACACTTTGGGGGYTGATGGTCCCATCAGGATTTTTCACACGCAGTCCGCATTTTTGATTTATAGGGCCGAGTTTCGTGCTTTGTTTTGTTCAAATTCCTCATTTTCCCCCAGATCTGATTGGAACCTTTCACGGTTTCTCCTCTTTCCATCGCAGAAATCATGATGTGTATATTAATAACACACACACAGTCCAGCACTGGTGCGGTAATGACTCCTGATCCATCTATGATTTCATGGGAATATCAAAATACATTTTTCTCCCCTCACAAATAATCTGCCTGAGCACTTTCTACGGCTGTAATAAACCAGCTGAGAACAAACGCTTTTAGTTTCAGAATGATTTAAACCTAAAATTGCCCTCCAGATCTGTCTCCCTGCGACGCCAGCTACTAAAGCATCCACGGAAAATATTGAATAATATACATAAAACATGGATTTTACACATCCCACCCCTCCTCCTCGCTGCCGGTGTACAGCTAAACGCACATTAAAAGAACATTATCAGGGTTTAAGGTCAAACATTTGCGGGTTAGGAAATGCGTGCTTCCTGCGTGTCGGAAGCGTGGGCTCCCCCGGGAACACGTGAGGATGGTCATTAATTCCACCATCACGTCCGATTTTCTTTTATTTATTTTTTTTTCCAAACCCATTGAGCCCTCGGAGCGATTTTGTCACCTTTACGAGCAGCTGTTGAGGAACATCTGCACCTCAGCCGGGCGGTGTGAAATCCCTGCCCCATTTCGGGCCGCTGCTCTCCTGAACGCAGACCCGTTTGTTATCTCTTCGGGGCTTATCAATGTCATCTTGGCGTTCTTGACAGATGACAAGAGATTATTTCTCGCCCGCTGCCTTGTGAGATGCCACGGGCTGAGCCGGCTTGCTTGACAGGAGAGAAGTCACAAGCGAGGTCACAAGTACCCGCTAATTCCCGCTAAGGAACGGCCTGGGATCGTTCCCAATCCTTAACGTTATGCAGATGTTGGAAAACGAGCTCCTGCTACTTCCCTGTTAGGATTTCCCATCCCAAACCGCAYTGCCGGCTCAGGGAATTCTCTCTTTGGGAAAAATCATGTCCCGAGCCTTGCCAAGGGACAGAGCTGTGGCTGCCAAACAAAACCCCGAAGGCTTTCTGTTCCAAGGAGGGTTTAAAATCGATGGTGGCAGGGTGAGAACGAGCCTCTCCCGTTTCGTGCTGCCGGTGGAATAATAGGCAGGAGCAACGGCATGAAAATCAATGCTAATTAGCTGCGAAGTGAAAACAAAATGAAGCTTGACACTCTTCTAATCTCTATTTTGGCATTTAGAAATCCGGCTGTGACTCCAGTGCTGAGAGGGAGCTGCATAAATCCATAAAATCAGCTCGAGACACCCGTRAGTCTCCCTCACCTGACTGACAGGTCCTTGGGTGCTAAGCCTCGCATGTGAAAGGAAGCTCGGCTGTTCCAAGTTTCAGGAGCTGGGGGCAAAGCCTTCCCAAAGCTTKAAAAATGCTTTAAAAGCCCGTAATGAAGGCGGGGTATTAAATCAGAGGCTGAGGTGGTTTAAAATCCTGGCTCTGGTGTTCTTTCCTCACATGCAGGATGGAATCCTGGCTCTCCTGCCAGCCCTGGGATTTGGCCTGCGGGACCTGCAGCTCCTGGGCTGGATCCAGAGGCTGTTCCAAGGGATTGATCCACACGGAGGATGGCAGCTGTGATGTTCTCTCCCCTTTACAGAGGGATAAAGGGTGGAGAAATGACTTTTCCAGGAGCACACGTGGAGTCCAGAGCAGCAACAAGGAAGTGAGGACACACAGGAGGTGATGACTCCTTTCCTGTCACACCACCCAGCCAAGGAGGCTTTGTAAAATCCACAAAAATTATGTGGATTAATCAGATGTATCTGAATTTGGCCTCTGGAAAAGCTCCTAGGAAAATGTCTTTTAGAAGCCAGAGAAATGCTCTGGAGCCTCTTCTCAGAATCAGAGAATTCCCAGAATGGTTTGGGTTGGAAGRGACCCCAAAGCCCATCCCATTCCATCAGCCRTGGGCAGGGACACCTCCCACTATCCCGRTTGCTCCAAGCCCCGTCCAACCTGGCCTTGGATATTCCTGGAATAGGACAAGAAGATTCCTATGAGGGGTCAAGTCCAGTCACGGCTGTGTCTGAAAGGGCTGTTTGACCTTAGCTGGGGAATCGCCTCAGCTCCAAYCTTCCCTGCAGCAGAATTGTCCCTTTTGGATAAATGCATCACACCAGGAAAACTCCTGGATAAACACAGMGCAAGGATCTCATGCAGATCCGGACCTGCTGTTCCATATTTATGATTTGTTAGCGYTCGCAGGAAGAACAAATTGCACGTCGGGGGTGCTCTGCCATCCATGAAATCACATGGAGCTCAAGGACATTCCCTGCCTTGGGATGGAGGGGCAGGAGCAGCCTCTGCTGAGCAGGAACGCAAGCCAGGAGCCAAAAATCTGCATTCCCRGCCCACAGCTGGAACTCCGGGATTTTGTCTAAATTCCTGCTGCTGTTGTGCATTCCTGGCTCCTTCAAAATCAGCACAAACATTTTGGGAAGGACTCAGATCCWCAGGGATCAAAGACTGTGAGTCCTTCATCTGGATGATAATACAGGATTGCAACAACAG